GCAAGCCTCTGTGCTGAGCTAGCAGCTGCCCAGCTGCAGGCTGGTGATGCTCTCTTCCAGCCAGAGGAGGATCTGGGCTCTGTCCTGGCTCAAGGCAGCCCCCTGTTTCAGGATGGGGGCCCCTACTGGAGTGATCCCCCCCATGAGGGCTCTGATGAGGGGGCAGAGGTGGTCTGGGGGAGCCCTGCTGGGGATGTTGTGGCCCAGCCGGGTCCTGACCGGGACGCTGCAGTGGGCAGCCCTGGCCCGGAGGGGCTCTGGGAGCTGGCTGATGATGCCGGGCTGTACTCGGGGTCTGTCTCTGCTCTGGCCTCTGGCTCTGGACTGAGGGGCTGGGAGAAGGAATCTGTTGCCCCTGCTGTTGCTGGAGATGCCCTGCTGGAGTCTGTGCCGGGGGCTGAAGGTAGGAGCTTAAGGATTTGGGAAGATCAATAAATAAAACGGAGCTGAGAATGTGAGGCACCCCAATAAGGCTGTGCTGGAGGACAAGTGGGTCGCCAAGAACTGAGGTATATTTGCTGACTTGACTTGACTGGGGCCTCCTTCAAAATAACTGATTCTGATTGTGAAGGCTTTTCACATTGATCTCGTCAGTCCCTGACTTCTGAGCTACTGGCCTGTTGCACCTGTACCCAGGTGGTTTTAAATTAACTTGGGTTCTGGGGCTGGGCTCCTTGAAATTGCTTCGTCCAAGATCCCGTGGATGTGTGCCCATCGCCATCGTCAGGCTTGAAGGGGCATGAGGGCTCAAAATGACCTCTGACCTCTGAAACCATGCTGACCTTCAACCCCAGGCCTGCCTTGTTAATGCTTTTGTGTTGAAATCAGCTGGGTTTCTGACACAAGCTGTTCAGCACGCTCCCCCTGCCTCTGTCTCCCATGGCGTGAGCCCAGAGCTGAGCCTGTGAAGACGCTCCTCCCCAGGAGAGGAGGGTCCCCTCGGGAGCTGTGTGGCGCTTGGTGCTGGGGGGGGGTCAAGACCCTGGGGTGACGAGCTGAGTGGAGCTGCTCCTCACTGCCTGTGCCCCTCCCTCGCAGGGGGCTGGCCAGGGTCCTCGGAGGTCTCCGAGCCCCGCGTCTCCTCCGAGCTGGACGGCGAGCCGCTGCCCCGGTCCTGCCCGGAGTCCCAGCCGGCCGTGACCTGCGGCCGGAGGAGCCTGACCGTGAGGTTCGCGCGGGAGAACTTCAGCAGCGTCTACCTCCTGCAGGGTGAGTGGCCCCTCGGTCGGCTGCGGTGTGGGGGGGGGCCGGCTGACTGGCTGGTTAGTTTTCTGGGTGATGTGAAGTGAGCGCAGTAACAGGTCCTGGAGGTCAAGAGCCCATGTTAAGGGATAATAACAGACAAATACACTAAACGGCTGTTTACACAAATGCGACTGGGATTATTTACGTTAGCAGAGTGACCAAGGAATGGGCCGCCCAGTTATGTGTGGTCTAGAGGGTCTCCGTGCCCCCAGATTCAGGGCACTGGAGACCCCCACCACCACCACCTGTCAAACAGCTAGCAAGCACAGAGAAATGTCTGACCACCGGTAGGGTGTGGGTGATGCCCGATCCTGGTGTTCATAAGGCTTCCTCAATTCCGGTACTTGTCAGCAGTTTCATGCGCTGTTGATCAGGGAGTGTCGACATCGCTGAACTCCCCATCTCTCTCTCTCCCCCTCGCAGCCAGGATGACCCCTCTGTCGCTGGACTATCTCCCCGAGCACTGCAGTCACCGGGTGTGGACGACCGAGGCGTGGCTGACCCTGGTGGCTTCCTACAGAGGCTGTTATGTCCAGACCTGGGTGAGGGGCATCTCTGGGGGCGAACTGGACCGCAGGGGAGGGGGCAGATGGGGGGGAGAGACCAGGGTATTGGCTCTGGGACTTGGCTGGGTGAGAGATCTTCCAGTCAGCACAGAAGTCACTTTACCCGAAGGGTGGTGGAAGTGTGGAACAGCCCGCTTTCGAGAACCTGCTGGATGGGATCCTTGGAGCAATATTTACTGTCTTATGGGGCTGGATGGCCTCTTATCTGTAACGCCTCTCCCCTCAGGTGGGGCAGTTCAGATTGTAACTGAGGGAGGCCTTGAGGAGGTGTTGCCCTGGTCCAGCCCTCAAGATAGTCTTGCAAGTGGAGTGCTTGGGGGTGGACAGCCACTATGCCCAGCCTAATCACCTCCATCACCTCCATCACCTCCATCACCTCCATCACCTCCATCACCTCCATCACCTCCATCACCTCCATCACCTCCATCACCTCCATCACCTCCATCACCTCCATCACCTCCATCACCTCCATCACCTCCATCACCTCCATCACCTCCATCACCTCCATCACCTCCATCACCTCCATCACCTCCATCACCCATCTGTCTTTGAGACTGCGGGTTTACAGGAATTAGCCAAACTCCATCTGCGAGGACTTTCCGATTGAAGCCTTATAGAAAACGTTGGGCTTTGGATAGTTGTTGAGCTGCTTTAGTGCCGTATAGAGTCTCACAGTGTTTTCCTGCACATCAAGCCCCCTAGTTTAGCTGATACCCGTCTGATTTTCATGATCGAGATGAGGTCCGACTATCCCAGCATGATCTCGGTTCGTAGTTCAAACCCCCGTGGGAGTTCTGGTCCAGCCCGCTTGGCTCTGGACCCTGCGGTCGCTGAACGCCCTCAAGTTCAAGTTTGTCATTACACTCGTATACATGGTATATGGTATAACGAAATGCTATTTAGCTAGCTCTCGGACATAAGTAGTACAAGGAGAAAAGAAAACGACAATACAATTGTGTAGCAAAAGAAAGATGGAGACAACAGGCAGTGTGCAAAAAACAGGCAATGTGCAAAACAACAAAAAGGTAACAGGTTATGTGCAAAAATATGCATCAACAGAATAAAATAAAGGGATAGAAACTATGGGGAGTGAGTTTTTGACATGTGTGGTAGAGGTAGATTTTCAATGTGTGTTTGGGTTTTTGGTAAGAAAGGAAGAAGGCACTGTGAGGTTCAGGTCATAGGTCATAGGTGAGAGGCTGGGAATTTAACAGTTTGATAGTGCGGGGGTAAAATCTGGCTGAGCTCCAGGCTGAGGGTACGAGCCTACCCGCCGTCTGCTCCCGCCCTCTCTCCCGCAGAGGAAGCACCACAGATGGTTCCACGCCGTGACGGTGAAGTACTACGATGTGGTCCGCAGAACGCCGGCGACCAGCACGGTGACCTGCTCTGTGGCGGCCCGCCGGCCCCGGCCCCGGCCCCGGCCCCCCGCG